TTAGACAACAAATTTTGCCAGAGCTCCCAGTGATCTTGGGTCTACTGAGAGCCTCTGCAGAATCAAAAGCCTGCAAAGAGTCAGCAAAACAGAGCTGATGTTTTTTGGCTTCTGACGATGATAAGAAATGTGTGGGAGGCTCCTTTCACATCTCCAGAATTCCATTACTTCATTCTTCATAGTTTCCTTTTCGTGTCCCTGTTGAGCAAATTTTTATATATTGTTTCAGAGAACCGGTCACAGGGGTAATGAAAATAGCTGCTTCTCAAAAGGGAAAGATCAATGCCACACAGAGGGAAAGCTGTTTTAAAACTTTCTCAATGGTATGGTAAAATTACTGCAAGGGGGTGAACTCAATGGCAACATTTCTATTAAATCCATTATGAACCTGGCAGGAAAGACAGACAAGTGGGAAATATTTTCTACCATCCCTCCTACCTTCTGTACTATTTGTTCACTCTCTTTTGACCTTCAGCTCTTTCTCGAAAAAATTTTTCTAGAAGTAGTACCATCAGAACAAACACTACCACAGAGAGATAGATATCTATCTTTATGAGCATCCTCAAAGAAGAAAATGAGTCAGAGCATATATATCAGAAAAGGAGGAACTAATGGTTCCAAACATTAGATGACATCTGCTTGAAATTCTTTGCTTGCCATTGACTAGGACACTTCTTTGCCAAGGGACAAAGTCACTCTGCCTGTTCTGCCACTTGTTCCTTTGGGTTAGGCCCTTAAGCACTAATAATCTTCACATACCCTGGAGTAACAAGGAGAATGTAATTAATTGTCACAAAGTACATGATGGGACCATGACATTTTGTAATTCCAAAATGAAGTCCCAGGATTTTTGGAGTAACAAGCTTTTCATTTTGAAATGAATTTTACGTGGTTGCTTGTGAGAAGTGATACCTTTTTTCAAAGATTTTTAAATAGTTGTGGGTTGGTTTTGTTTTTTTTTAATTTGAAAAAAAAGTTGAAATACTTTAAAGTGGTTCATTAAGGACCTTTTCCTGAATAGCTTTTTCTGAACAGGGACATGTAGGGACCTGTAATCCCACACAGCAGTGTCTCTTGATACTCCTGAAGTTTGGCATTAATTCCCTGCTGATAGGCATACTTGCTGTATCCTCAAAGCCTGCCCTGCACTTAGGTTCTCTTTCACCACAATGTCTTTTCCCTCAAATCAGATTTTGCCTAGCATGTTCCCTTGTACACGTGCAGTGGGCTTCCTTTCAATGTTAATACAGCATCACACTATATAGACAATTTCAGGTTTGACCTGGACTGAAAAAGACATGGCATGCCATTTCCTCTGTTAGCATCAGACAATACGTTTTATTACCTGTAGATCACTGTTCCAGCTTCTGTGGGTATTTATCCTACTTCTGCTCTTTCCTATCTTTTTTTCTTCTTTACTTCCCTCTTGCTTTAGCACTTCAAACCTGCCATTCTCAAGCTATCAGGAAGAAAAAAAAGTCACATGGAAAGCATCCTTATGGTACTCTACCACAACCCAAGGCTACTCTGCAACCTTGCAAAAGAAATATCAATGACAGTTTTGCACCACTTTAATTTTCTTCCCTTCAGTAACCCGGAATGGTTTTAATAAATCAGAAGTAATTTATATGAAATAGAAAATGTTTCTTTTTAGCTGGGAATGCTCTAAAATATCAGGAGCGGCTCTTGGCACCTCCAAATTGCAGGACAGCTGTGATAGCTGCTCAGCTTTCTTGTCTTGACCAGAAAGTGAATTAGAAATGAGAGTCTAGAATGTGTTAGCTATTTATAAACTTACATTATATTAAGTGATGTGTGAGAAATCCTTCCAGTGGACCATTGTCCCTGATGTCCCTTGCTCTGCAGCTTGGTAGCAATGCTCTGTGGATGCTGTCACACTGCTGCAGGGCCTGGTTGGCACTGAGTGCTGCCACAACGCTTATAAGAAGCCACAGTGTCAGACTTTCTGAACCACAGCTCCCATCTTCTTAAATATCACCCTCAGTGATACTGCTGTTCTCTTCCTGATACAAAAAAGGAGCAGAATTTCATCAGCTATACTACATACCTACACTACAGACAGTATTTGCACTGTAATATAGTCAGCTGTACTATGTCAGCTATACTGATAGTGACAGGAGAGAGGGGAAGCTGAAGCTGGTTAGCCATCTGGGGGCATTCCCATGCCCTGGGTTCAAGCTCCCTCAAGCTGATTCATAGCAAAGCTGCTGAAAGCTCAACACAGTGTTTTACACTCCAGAGAAAGGAGGAATCGGCTCCTTTCCCCTGGTGGACAAACAGCAGCTGTGATCATGCTGCAGTCTGGAGTAACTCTGGTAGAGAGACAGTCTGTAAATTTTAGTCTTGGCTCTGAAAGGAGAAAAAGACGTGATGCCTTTTGATGGCATAAACCATTATGTTTTACATAGTAACTAGTTGGGTTTATGTACATAATGTTGTCTTATTCTATTATAAATAACCATTCACATTCACATGGTTTGTGTTACTTCTCTCTGCTGGCTTCCAACTTCCCAGTCTTCTGCATTTTATTCACTACAGTTAGTTTCCAGTACTGATAAATCTAATCTTTGACTATCCATACCATGCAGGTACCATTTTTCCTAACTAAATAACAGCACCCACAAAATTCATCTTTTAAGATTAGTGCTGTTACCATTGAGCTGCAACAGAAGGTTAAGGTTATTCTTGTTGGCAGTTTTACTTCTGTGGTATTTTGTTTTTTTTTAATGATGGTTTTGTAAGGAACTGAGCAGATGAAAGAATTAGGTCTGGTTTAAATTTCTAGGATGAAATTCCAGAAGTTCCACTTGGCATGCTTAAGACATTTATATTATGTTTTGAGCAGGGGATCAGGGTTTTTATTCATAACTGTGGTTGAAATTAGAAAGTGAAACTCCTTAAATGTGGAGCATGACATTAAAATTTTTTAAGAATCTATTTCTATGTGTAGATTTCTTAAAGATTACTGGGGAAAAGATTTTCTTGTACCAAGTGATTTTTTGCCCCTTCAAGAAGAGTTGAAGAAAATTGGCAGGAGGCCAACAAAATCCATCTTGTTGATATTCCCCATATTGCAAAACTATTTTAGCTATGGGTACTACAAAATCAGTGCTGGTAACTGTTTTTCTGGGAAAGCTGATTGAAAAAGATAACACACTGGGATAATAAGCCATGTGTCAACAAACAGAGAGATTAGAAGGAAACTGAAATCTCTCCTATTGGTAGCTAACTCCTAAGCCTTGATTTTACCTCTTCTCATGTTTCTCCAGCTAGTAACTCCAGAAATGAAACTGAGCACTATGGCAGCATTTTGTATCCCCATGACCAAACAGATAAGCTCTGACAATAGAGATACAGTTGAAGCTATGAACACACTGTCAGCTACGGTGCAGTTAGTTTGTCTCTTTTTTCACACTTTTGGGATAATCATAAGTCATTTTGGATCACAAGTGTGTCATCATTTTTTCTGCCCCTTCTGCCATTCAAGATACAGCAAGTCTGGCATTTTCCCAGAAAAATTCTAGATTATTGTGGAGCAAAGTGTGCCTGTGAATTTTGGAGGGACTAGTACATGGAAGCAGAGCCCTGGGAGCAAGTATTCTTAGTTTCAGACCTTTCAGATGAGGACAATAACACACATGAAGAAAAGCAAACCTGGGCCATTTAGTTAAGAGGGTGGGGAGAGGAGATGACCCAGGAAGCCTTATGTGATTGGCTGCTATAGTATGCAAAGCTCTCAAGAAAACTTTGGATGAAGGGACAAACTGGGAGGTGAACAGGATAAAATTAAACATGTGTTTACAGCACTGGATAGTGTCAGCCCAATAGACTCTTCGAGAAGCGATATATGTTTTCTTCCCGGGAATTTCAGTTAAGCCTTTTCAGAGTCTTGTGTGATGTAGGGATGAGGGAGCTGTGAGAAAACAGGGATTAGGTGTGTACAGAGTTGGCTAAAAGGGAGATATCACTGCTTAGTGTTAGTATGTATCAGAGAGGAATTCATGACCTGGGTGCTGTGATGGCAGTAAATATATTGGATGGAAATAATTGTGGAATGGAAGGAGCTTGGTGTATACAGTGGATGGGCTGTTAATGTGCCAGAGTGGTCTGGTGAGGTATATCCAACAGAAAAGAGGGAAGCTTACTGTCTTGATTCAAAGATGTTTGTGAGAATCCATTTAAATTTTGCTGGCACAAGTGCCCAGAGGCTGTTGAATAACCATCCTTGGAGCTGTGCAAAGCTTGACTGGATGGGGCACTGAGCAACTTGATCACACTTTGAACTATATTTGAGGAGGTAGCCTAGATGACTTCTAGAGGTGCCTTCCACCTGAATGATCTCATGCTCCATTGGAACAAAGAAGCTCCCAGAAACCGTTCACAGCACATGAGTGAGAAGCAGGAGGAAAGAAAGTATAAGTCCTCAAACCCCAAAGTGCTGTTATGTCAGACCTTTACAACAGCATTATTTTATACATGTAGGTGGTATGTAGGAAAGAGACTGAGGACCAGGGTGTGCTTTCCAGGCTGTAAGCCTTACAGGGAAGACATGCAGGGACAAGACAGAATGTCTTGCGAACTCTTATGTTTAGGTCTCACAGCTTCGCAGCAACAACAATCCTTTCTTAGCATTTTTTTGATAGAGAGGAACTCAGGAAATTATTTATTGGTTGTCTTTATCACTCATTTCCTCAATATAGTTTTCACAAGGTTCAGGGAAAAGCTTTGCAGGAAAGCTGAAGATGGCCAAGTAATGAACAAAAGAGATGTGCTGAAGTTTGGGAAGAATCTTATTTTTCAGTGGAAAAAAAAGTACATCTGAGGCAGAAATAGGATTAAAAAAAAAAAAAAAAGGAGTGGTGGGAAAAGGAAAGAACCAAAAGAGAAGCAAGGGGAAGAAGGAGAAAGAGGAGGCCAGAAGTCCAGATTTGCTAAAGAGATTAGAAAATTTGATTTTTTTTTTTTGGCAGATACACAGCCTCTCCTAAATCATTTAGAAAGTGAAATGATGTGGGGAAGAAAAATTGACCTGTTTTTGAGCCATGGAATTACAGAGCTTGCAAAAGATGGGGTATCTAGCCACAAAACCAACAAATTGACTCAACCTTCTCTCCCTAGCAACTCATCTTCTCCAGTGAGCCTAAGTGGGTTGGTAGGATTATCTCTAGGGGAAAGAGGCAGTTGATTCATCAGGCCCATCCATACTGAGACTAGAAGGCAAGCCCTCTTTCTTGTTTGTAACTCAGTTTTCTTCCAATGTCATTCCATTGAAACAAATTCAAGCAATTTAGCTCTTTGTCCAGTAGACCTATATTAACAGAGAAACACATGTGCAAGGACTGGGCTTATAGTTTACTGAGCTCAATAGAAGTACTATAACTAGATGGCCAGGATAACATTTTTTAAAACAGTATTTATTTTTATATTGAAGTAGCAGGCAAAAAAATAAACAGAGAAGGGCAAAATGGAATAAATTAAAAGATATTTTCATGTGAAAGGATATCTTATTCACTGGTTTTATTTGTATCTGGTAGGAAAACCTCCACATGCTTTTGGTAATCTGTAGATTGGGCTACAACTCTGATGCTAAAGAGGTACACAATGAGTTGTACGATTTCTAGTGACTTAAGGCTCAGCTTGCCCTAGGCTATATACTCAAAATGTAAGTATAAACCTTCACTGACTCATGATAAAATTCTCCTGGTATGGCCAATGGGGACCCTAAAAAGTCTTGGCCTTTATATACCTGTGAGGTGCAAGACAGCTATACATGCAAGATGTGTGTAGTTCTGCAATACTCTCCCTGAAGCCTTTCTCTGAGTTTGCACTGCTTCAGCCTTGCACCAAGAACCAGGGCACAGCTTTCTGTCTCCTGGTACTCTGCAATCTGCTGCCTCTCAGGTGACTGTCTCCATTGCATGGGTGGCTCAGTGTGACCCAGGTTGCTTGCAGCACACTCACCAGTATCACTGCTCTCAGCCTGCATTGTGAGCTCTGCACGTATCTATGTGTGTGACCATGTACTGGGGGCTACTTGCTGAGGTGGCAGGTGTCCTGCTCTCCCAGCACAGGCATGGGCAGGATCATTTGTCTGAACACTTCAAAACAACCTCCACAGGAAAAAGTGTTTGAATCATTTGGAAATGCCCAGAAAACAGCGCATGGGCTGGCACCTCTCCAGTGACTCAAAGACCCAGGGCAGTTATGCATATGCTGGAGGAAGACATGGGGGAAGACACTTCATTGTGGGGAAGGCATCAGGCACTTTCAATTGCCTGACACTTGAGGAAACAGCAGTAGAGAGAAGTATGCTAGCTTGGCAGTTGGACACTGCAAGAGAGACCAAGTGAAAACCAAAACATGTTCATGCTTGCGCAGAAGAGGATTCTCAAATGCTTTCTTCCACTTCCCTTGCATGCTTGGTTCCTTTTTCCACTGCAGTCAACAGAGAGTCTCATAAACAATAACCTCAGTCAGTTGCAGATGTTTGCCTCTGATAATGTATTTACATTCATTTCCTGTAAGGACATGTTGTCTTTCTCACCATAAATATATTTAGTAGGATTGATATTCTGAGTGGCTAAAAATTTGCTCTTGCATCCTCTTCTGAACTCTCTGGTCTTTAAGGATCAGCTTTTCAATAAGCTCTCTTACTACTACTCCTTCTAGTATCTCCTTTCAGCTTTAGGAATTCTCAGTGGCAAGTGGTCTCTGGATCTATCTCCTGAAGTGTGGTTTCTGCGTCTATCTCCTGCTTTGGATCACAAAGACCTTCCCTTGTCTGATCTACCTTTCCCAGTTGAACTAGCTGTCCTTTACCCCTAAGCCCTTTTGATACGGCTTGTCTGTCTTAGTGGAGGATGCAGTGTGGCTTGAAGACAGTGCTGCTGCAGTGCACCCAAAAACCTGAGAAAGGAAAGTTGTACTAGCTTTGAGAGGCCAACAACTCCTCTGCAGGGCCTTGAATCCAGTGCTGGACCTGACTACCACTGCCTTGCAGAGACCAGTGCTGCCTCAGGAGAAATGTTTGCCCTCCAGCTGGACTGTGTTCTTGTAAAAACAGTGATCTGTGTCAAAGTGAGCTAAACAGAGCAATCAGAAGAGAAAATGAAAACTGTCATTCTTTGACATATCATACAGTGCAATAAGAATGTAGAACAGCTGTAAGCTAAATAAGCCACCTAATAATTTTTCATGTTGTCCTTTTTACAGACTTCACTATAGTGTTACTAACTTGTGGCTCTTGTCTGGCAATTAAATGGTTAGCAATGGTAAAGTATTTCTGCCATTTAAAAATGTATTTTTCATACTCTCTTGAAAAACAAACAGGATAAACTGTAACTGGTAACTGCTTTTGGAATGTGAGTTGCTTTCTAAGTCTTCTAAGAAAACAAAACACAATCTCCAGACCCCACTCCTAAAGAAGCAAAAAGCAAAACAAACTCGGTTGCATTTTACATGCATTTTTTTAGAGAATAAGTTTTGCTTATTATTCTTTCCACTTCATCTAGAAATATAAGTTACTGCATACTTTAAAAATTAAAAGGAAAAAAAACCAAACCGCAAACCAAAAGCCCCTCCGAACAATTCAGTCAAACCCTGTTCTCATTTTTGCCTGGCTGCTTAGTTTTAGAAAAGAAAATATTGGCAAGTGACGAAGCTAAAGTTTTCTCTTTTTAAAGCACTTTATCTTCCATTTTCGTTATGATTTCAGGCAAGTTTACAAGAACTATTTCCTGGACTTCCTTAGAATTGCTAAAACTCGTCCCTCTGCTCCTCACTCCTCAAACAAGACCTGCTTCATGCCCTACATTGAATGCATCTTTGACAAACATTTTCATTGCCTTCTCTTGAAGACGCATATAACACACAGGAGCCATGGTGCAAAGGAAATGAGGAAATGCTCTCTTTACTACTGTTTCAAAATGAAAATTAAAATACCCTCCCCATCCCTTAGGACAAAATGGCAGTGGCAGTGCAGGCTGCTGCATGGCCTAGGTGCCCAGGCATACTGAAGGAACTGCCACGGGCTGCTTCTGCCTAGAGATGGGAAGAGCAATGGGATCCTCATCTCTTTTCTCTTGCCTTCACTTCAGCCTCCTCAAACTTGCCAGCTTTCTACTCTATTTTCCAGCCTCCTAAAGAACAGTACTTAATTAGCTAATCTCATGTGTCCACTTCTGTTCTGTACTGCAGGTGGTTTCACAGCACCAATCTCATCAGGAGGATACCACAGTAGCAGTGCCACCCTTACATCATGCATTAAATAAGCATCACAGAGAGCAAAAGGATAAATATGTAATAAATATTTGTTTCTTTCTACATTTGCATTACTGGGTTTGAGCATCTGAGGCATATTTAGCTGTTTTTCAAACTCCTATCTACCAACACAAGGTTTAACAATCGCTTTATTATTATTACTGTCATTATTGTCACTATTATATATGAAATTCTAATCCACCATAAGGACCCTGAGGATATTATGGTTCTAATAATGGTACCACCCATACTGGAACTCTTAATAGAGTACTGTGAGCTGTACTGTGAGACTGTAAAGAAATGCTGGCTTTCAGAATGTTTATAATCTTTCTTCCCGAAGATGAATTGCCTAAGGAAGAAAATACGAGGAAGCTAAATTTGCTGTTCTGCTTCAACATAAAATGTGCAGGGAACACTACTGGCATGGCCAAGTTAAACACCCTTTAACAACTCAAGTAAGCATAAGGACCTCAGGACACCTTTCAACTGAGGAAACTTCTTTGCTGGCATCAGTGTAGTATAGCTGTGTAGTATTGTTCCGTAAAATCTCAAATTCTCTTTCTGCCATTCACGGTACTAATGCAAGGTAAGGATTAATAAGTATTTATACCTTGCTGGCTTCTGGTAGTTTCTCCAAACTGCTGAAATATAACAGAAATGCAGCCTCTTGTCTGAGGGTTTACAAGGGTTGGTGTTTATCTCAATTGCTTGTCAAGGCTCACAGCATATTTCTTATGTGTTAGAGATGGTAGCTAAAACAAGGATAAAAGCAGCAATTTAAGTCAAAAGACAGAGCGAAGAAGATGAACTTCTAATGATGGATTTATTGCTATCTTTTTGTTTTGGCTTAGGTCCTTCCTTAACATGAGGTAAGCTATAGGCTTCATTTTAGTTAGTGCTGAAGAGAGGGCTGCTTGTCAGAGAGAACTCCTAAGAGAAGTTACTGGCAGCTTTGGACTTGTGTGCAGAGCTATCACCAGGAGAGACACCGTTGAAGTCATGGTGGTCCTTGGATGACCTCTGGCAGCCTGGGTTGAAAACTGTACTGTTCAGACAAGACAGAAACCAGGGCCTGGGTACATCTGTGAGCATGCAGTTATGCCCAATGACTGCGAAGTTGAAGTTCACTCACTCCTATGATTTCAGCTGTAAGGACTGGTGTCACTTCCCACAGCCGGTTTCTTGGCTCACCCTCTGGCAGTGGCCCAATACCAACACGGTATTCTAACACATCACCAGGGGTTGTCAGCAGAAATTTTGGGAGAAAAACCCACCGGCATTGCTCATTATAATCTTTCAGATGTCAGAGTGCTGAGCAGTGAGGCTTAAAAGAGAACAGCAGCAAGGAAAGAGCATTTGTTCCTCATGACTGATAAAAGTAATAATGCAGATCCCAGCTTCAGTTTCATGGACTTGTAATATATCCATGAATCCATCCAGTAATTAAAATACCTAACATTTTTGCATATTGAACTATTTCAAATTCATAAGACCATCATCTTTTCTTCACCACCAAATCCTACCTTTTCATGCTGTCTGCCACACAAATGATCCTGAAGTGCTTGTAATTACCCAGTCTCTGTAGTGACTAGGTCACATAATCACACCTAACTTCACTGTCACCGTGTATCAGCTTTCCCTTGCCTGCTATTTAATTTTATTTAGGTTTTATTTAGTCTGTTTATTTTACTTACTTAGGTTCCTTTAACTATTTACCTGCTGCTTGTTGTCGGGTTATAAAATCAGGGCAGGGGAAAGTCAGCTTCCTGGTGAGTTGTAGACTGCTACTGACCATAGAATCATAGAATGGTTAGGGTTGGAAAGGACTTTAAGATCATCTAGTTCCAACCCCCCCATGGGCAGGAACACCTCACACTAGACCATGTCGCCCAAAGCTCTGTGCAACCTGGCCTTGAAGACTTCCAGCAATGGAGCATTTACCACTTCTTTGGGCAACATGTTCCAGTGACCATGAGATTTACTTCTGGCAGGGGTCTCCAGACTGTCATGTAACATAAAATGGTGAAAACCACTACGTAGGTTGATCTGAAGGGTTTATGAAAAATTAACATTTCCTAAAAGATGAGTAGGACAGCCTAAAAGTCCTTAAAACTCCTTTAACTTGTATTTTGATTTAGTACCCAGGTACCATTCATTGCTCTGCAGAACCACTTAAGTAAATCAGAAAGGAGAGAGCAATTGGATAACATCCTGCCCTCACAATGTCTTTCTTGGGAATGAGACTTACCTCCTTTTGACTCCATGAGATGAAAGCTCAAAAAGCTTTCATCAAAAATGAGATGAAAGCTCACTTCATTGCTTGTGGTCATTCTCAGAAAAGACAACACATGATTTATTTATCCCCTTTTCTAAGAGATTTTCCCCTAAAACCAGCATAGACTGTGGTGATAGGAGTTTTTTTACCTCATTTTTCTTTTTTTCCTGTGGAAAAGCTGGTGATGTAGGTCTGTACTACTACCAGTTTAGACTACTGTACATGTCAGAAGGCTCGGTGTGATACACCACCCGGCTTTGCTAGGACCATGCCACAGGAGCTGCAGTAGAAATATCAGTGCCAAAGAAGACACCACAAAAAGAAAAATGATGACTTCTGTACTTCTATTTCTGCTGTGCAGTCCAAATCCATACTGGCTACACAAGGCAACATGAGGTGTTTCTTTATAAGCAATCATCTTATTCCCAAATTTTCAGACTGTCTGGAAGGGAGGGTAAAGGTAACAGCCCAAATCCCAGGTTTCCCTGACTCACTGCTGCATTGTGGCTGTGTCCTCCAGCTGTTTCCAAGTAAGTAATATTTTCTGCTGAGTCACAGTATTACAAGGCATTTTCTCTTTGTGATTAATCCCTTTACCCCAGAGAAGACGCAAATGTGCTTCTGGTTTCTGTTCTCTCCCACACTGGGGAAAGTTCCTGGGTCATGGAAAATGTGGTTTCTCCTCCCTTTTATGTCACACCCCCCTTTTTCCTGGCTCCTGCTCACACCCAGCCTTATCTCTGGGGTATGGAAACCACCACAGCTGCCTTAGGGAACCTTCAGTTATCCCACTTACTGCCCATCTTACTAACCAGCCTCTGTCAGAGGATGGCTGTAAATGCTTTTTGTGGGGATTTTCTTCAGTGTGAACTGCTGTAGTTGCAAAGTACTTGTACTCCTGCTGCCTTTGCTGCTCTTACTGGATGTTGCAACTGCTTGCACAGCCAGTTTCCACACACTGTCACATGTTAAATCACTCTTGACATCAGCAGATAAGCTTGTCAGAGTCTGCAGCCCAGCCCCAACTGAGCACAAACTGGTCCTGAGCTGTGCTTTCTCTCTCAGTTGTTATGAAACATTTTGGACTCCCTCTAATATCCCTAGGCTGACCTCACGTCATCTGCAGAGCAAGGCCACTAAGGAGCACGTTGACTTCCAAAGGCACAGAACTAGAGGCACCTATTTTCAGCAATAGCAAACAGTATGTGCTGAGGCAGGTTGGATTCAAAAGCAAACCAGGTGCCAAGATGGGGCAGTGATTTATTTTTCTATTTGTCTGTGTTTCAGAGAGGTAACTGTTGGGGGGTTATTTTTCTTGGCCAAGATCCTGTGGAAAGCCTATCCAGTGAAATCCGTGAGCTCGCACGTAAAATGATAGCATATGCTCAAGACATCAACAGACGTCAAGCACCCAAAGCCACTACAGCTTGGCCAAAAGATGCAGTCTAGAGGCCTGTGTTTCTGGAAGGTGTTGTCACTTCTGACACCAGAGGGGGAAGGCAAAGTCACTTTAATTTAGAATCCTGTGGTCATGGCTCGATTAAAAGTCAAAAAAATGCAGAGGAGTACAAGTAATATTTCATATACACATTGGGGAGCCATCACAATCCCTGATTTCCTTTGTACAAAGCTGGTGTCACTCTTGTCATATTTATCTCAACCCCTGTTCCCTGCAGCTGGCCAGTCCTGACACAAGGCACAGCTGTCACAACAGTGCTGCTAACAGAAGGTTAGGATGAATGGATGTCTAGATGTGAGCTGAATCTACTGTATCTGAGGTCTGGAGTAAAGTTAGCTTGTCAGGAAGGAGGGGGGACCATGAATGGAATTTGGCAATTATTGTGAAATTTCCAAATATCCTAAACATGGAGCCTTGAAGAAACAGATTTGATTTTTTTAACTTCTTTTCTTTTTCTTTTTTTTTTTCGTATTAGGCTGCCCTTGCCAAACATTGGACGTCAGAATCACAGAACCATAAAGTTGTTTAAGTTGGAAAAAACTTTCAAGATCATGAAGTCCAACCATTAAGATATCACTGCCAAGTCCACTGCTAAACTGTGTCCCTAAGTGCCACATTTACATGTCTTTTAAATACCTCCAAGGATGATGACTCCACCACTTCCCTGGGCAGCCTGTTCCAATGCTTAACAATCCTTTCAGTGAAGAAAATTCTCCTAATATTCAACCTAAACCTTCCCTGACACAACTTTAGGCCATTTCCTCTTGTCCTATCACTTCTTCCTTTGGAGAAAATACCAACCCCACCCCTCCCCATTCTCCTTTCAGGTAGTTGTAAAGACCGATGAGGTCCTCCTGAGCCTCCTCTTCTCCAGACTAAACAATCCTAGTTCCCTCAGCCATTCCTCATCAGACTTGTGCTCTTGACCCTTCACCAGCTCTGTTGCCCTTCTCTGGACCCACTCCAGCACCTCAATGTCTCTCTTGTAGTGCGAGGCCCAGAACTGAACTCAATATTGGAGGTGCAGCCTTACCAGTGCCCAGGACAAGGGGATGATCACTGCCCTAGTCTGGCTGGCCCCACTATTTCTGATACAAACCAGGATGCTTTTGGCCACCAGGGCACAATGCTGGCTCATATTCAGCCAGCTGTCTACCAACACCCCAGCAGCTTTCCAGCCACTCTTCCCCAAGCCTGTAGCATTGCATGGGGTTGTTGTGACCCAAGGGCCGGACCTGTCATTGAGGCTTGTTGAACCTCATACCATTGGCACCAGCCCATTGATCCAGCCTGTCCAGATCCCTCTGCAGAGCCTCCCTGTTCTCCAGCAGATCAACACTCCTGCCCAACTTGGTGTTGTCCACAAACTTGCTGAGGGTGCACTTGATAAGTATATTAAACAGACCTGCCCCCAATACTGAACCCTGGGGAACACCACTTTTGACTGGCCACTAATTATTTCCAGATTCAAGAACTTCAAAGAACTAGTGTAAGATGTCATTGGAAGAGGTGTTGAATGGACAGAAGTTCCCTAGGCAGCCTGGCATTGCAGCAAGATGTGATGCCACTGCATAAGCTTATAGAGCTCTGCTCTAAGAGCTGCCACTGCTTTCAGTTCCTGTTATGTTTCAAGAAAACTCAGTCTCCCTGAAAGTGACTGAAGTGGTTTCATTCTCATTACTTTGCAGATGTCCGTGTCAGAGGAAAAAGGGAAGGTGAAAGTCCATCCCTTGAGCAAAAACCAGATGTACCTGCTGAGAATAAAATAGAGAAGCCACAAGCCTTGCAGATGGCTGAAGTGCTGAAGGCATTTCCCATATTTCCAAGAAGGTGGCAAAGAGGAAAAAAGGAATGTTATCCCCTTACCTCCCTTCCCAATTTCCTCAGCTCTTTGTTCTGATTTTTCATAGACTAAAGATGATTCACTGAGTAACTGACCCAAATGTGTTCAGTGCTTCTTGAGAGCTGTGGCCAGTGTAACAGCAAGCCATAAGGGCAAATGCAGGAGTGATGGCAGTGACTTCTCTCAAAGGGAGGGCAAGAGCTGTTGTTCGAATCTTTCCAGGATTGTGCAGGGTTCTCTCCTGCTTCCTTTTTTGTGAAGGTGACTGTGATGAACTGGGGTGCCTCCTGTGTGTGACAAAACAGTGCTGCCCAGCTGACTGTGGCTGCTAGCTGTAGCAATATTACAATGATTAGTCAAACCAGCAGTCTCCAGTAGATTAACTACAGCCGTTCACTTCATTGAACAAGCATTGTACAGGAATTCAGAATGCAAACTATACTGTCCAAACACACCTAATAAATTAGCATTAAAGCTCACATGAAAATCCTCGAGGTCAAATGCTAATTTTGAATGCCTACATTAACTAGTTATTTGCATCTTCAAAAGTATTTAACTGATGTTTTGCATGAACATGTCTTTACCAATAATTCAAGATGTGACAATTTATATGTCTAGAGTTACAATTAAAAGTAAGAAAACTCAGACCTGGTGGTTAACTGTAAAATGCAGTGAACCTGAACCCAAGGGTAATTCATTGGCTGTTTTCTACTGACGGTGTTTCAATGGCCAACTTAAAGATATTGATGCTTCATCAACTGAATGAGAATATGCAGATTTTTCCCGCATCATAGAAGCTAAGAGAGATCCCAGCACAGCTCTAATCAGAACAGCAGCAGAGCACATTGCAATTACATATCTGGTTTTTCTCAGCACCACCCAGAGCGAGACTCATTACAATTGGATTCATTGAAAAACCACTCTTAATATTTACAGGACTCTCTTATAATTGACCATCAGGTGTCTGGAGTTTAAACACATATTCATTAGGATTGTGGTAGGCATTTTGTCATAGCTCTAAATGTTATGCTCCATTCCTCCAGCTTCAGGGTTTGCTATGAGCCGCGCTTGCTCCCTACAGCCTTTAAAAGATACTGAGCTTTGTGAATTTTTCCTGTTAATATCGACTGTATCTCAGACAAGTGGAGTTTTAATAAATTCCCAAGTCTTTCAGGCTAGAAGTGGAGGTGGCACTCTCTGAAAGAAGTTACAAAAGTTAAACTTGGAAAATATTTAGCCTATATTGGAGGTTGCGGCTTGCAGGCACCATCACATTCCTCTCAACAGCTGTGTATTCAGAAGTTGTTGAAAGTTAAGTTTTCTTACTTTTTTTGATGATTATTTTGCAGCAATGTAACAGGGTCATAGACACCAGTGAAAGCTGGACAGGATCCTCCAAGTGCTTTGGATATTTTTGGAAAAACATGGTACATGGCTGTTTCCTATAAGTGTGACTGATTGCTTCATCCCAGTATCACTTCTTCCAGCCTCCCTTTTATCTCCTTACCACATATCGTGCTATGTAACCACAGCTTCTCAGACTGATTCTGGGGCTGTCAGCCTTTCAGCAAAGAACGTTATTCTGTTCATCATTTCCCTCAACCTAATTTCTTTGTACTTGCAGGAGTGCCTAGCATTAGCACTGGCTGGCCTCATGTCATCATTGCTGGTCTTTGCTACTGAAGTATTAACATTTCTGTCCTTATGGGTAATTCTCACTGAGAAAATCTGGCTGCTTCTTCTTCTTCTTGGCCAACAACAAGGGTTACTTGAAAAATAAATTGTGTAAAGCGTATTCTGGTACAAGAGGGCTGAGAAGGTGCTGTTTGCCCAGCACTGGGCAAGGATGTGAAACTTCCCCAGTTCTCATTTCAGCTCAGTAATACTTGCCAGGGTTTTGACTACGTACACCAGCAGCAGAAACTTCTGAGAGAAACTGGCCTGACTCACTGCCATCAATTTGGCTGCTGATGCTATTGCTGTATTTCCTTGCAATCAGAGATCACAGCCTCTAAACAGTGCAGCTTCCCAGCAATATGCTGTAGGAAAGAACATAGACACTAAGCCTTTTATAATGTTTGGCTTAATAGCAATTTATATGAAAAACAACCGACATACACAAGCACACCCCCCCAAAATAGGATGACCTTTTCTTACAGCGGGCTGAAAGCTGTGTACTCTTTTTACATCTCCCTGTTTGACCACTGTGCTTGTTTTTCAGTAGTGATGGGGACTGGCTCATCACAATATTTTGGCTTTTAATCAGGTTAAATAATGCAGCTTTATCCTGACTATTTTGATTCTCTCTAATTATCCTGAACATTGCTGTAACTGTGGCATAAGGCTGTGTTCTGAGCTACCTGTTCATCCATGCTTCATGTGCTAACAGGTGTTCTGCTCGGACCGTGCTGTCTGTGTCAGGCTGTGAGGTCAGACATGAGCTATTTCCCACGATCAGCTTGATGTGCTGCATGTACTAGCTTTTAACAGCCTGATTCACACACCTCTTTGGCAAAAAACCCCAAATGTATGGCTTTCGCAAAATGGACACTTTTTTCTCTTTAGAAGGAGAGAAAGTGAAACCCATCAACAGTTGGTGAGTGATATTGGATAATGGGACATATTGCCAAACTGTCCCATTACTATGAGATAAAATAATGTTAGAATCACCCTTGGGCTGACTGTGGAAAAAATAATGACAACAGAATAAAGTGCATTTGCCACACAGAATACAGTATTAGTCATCTAGAAGTATGGTGCGTATGTGCCTTTTTTGGAAGGGGAGTTCAGCACTTTTTGCAGAGAAATGAAGTCCAAGAATGCTACATTTTCACGCTCTGAAGAAGAGTGTGAAGAGAAGATCACACACTCTTCGACCTCTTCTTAGCATGGGTAAAAAGCTGCCCGTTCTTTGCTTTCGAGGCCCTGGGGATGGAGGTTACAGGAAACTGAGGGCAGTAACAAAAAGACTCCACATCGGAGATTTTTGCAGTAAATGTAGTAACTAAGGTCATTGTGTTTGAAGTAGCTCTCTTGAGCATCTTCTGGCAGTATATTTGTGGCAGCACAAGGTTCACTAGAAAGTGCAAATCTTTCCTAGAAATCTGGGGAATTAATTGAGTACTTATCCTAAATTCAGTATTGCCATGATTAATTTAAAAGCTTAGGTATAACAGGATATAACTATCTAAAATATCAAACTTACCTTGTTGGATTTAAGGTCTGACTCTAGCCCTAGATCTTATGTTTTAAAAAAAGCTGCTACAAGAGAACAGCAATACTACACGTAGTCTTTCCTTCAGGTGAGGAATGGAGAAACATATGACAACATCCTCTTTGTGGGAATTTACAGTTGTTCTTTGGTACTGATAGTATTTTGTATCAACGTTCATGGACAAAATGAAGGGATATGAAATGCACTGAAGACTAAACTGCAGAAGACTACATGCAGAAAGGCTACTGAAACCAGCAGCTGTTTTTGTGTATGGTTTAATTTATTTCTCTGCTACAGAGCTGGGCAAATAGTCCTTGTGAGCAGTTCAGTTTCATTTTCCCCAACATATGTATATATTTTCTCCAGAATGTACAGCTCATTCATCCTACATCTCCTGGAAAGGCGGGGGAGCTCTCTGTAAGACAGCCACCAGATACTCCCATGCCCATGTCCGCTCTCCATGAGCTCTGCAGTGCCTCTGCATCAAGAGAAGTGCCAGGGGAGGTGGCAGTGATGGGACAGGGATGAAGGGGGAAGGCTGTCAAAGACAGCAGTAGATGAAGGGCATGGGGTTACAGTCGCAGTCTGGGGAAATGTTAAAGCACCTGCAAGGTGGTGAGTTTCTTTGCTGTACCAAAGTTGTACTAGATAAATTTTTAGGACCATTTGGTGTACAAGGAATGTAAAATGGTCTCTGATATAATGTGGAAACAACTATCCCCAAAGGAGTTACTTAAGTTGAAAAACTACTTATTTTTTTGGCAGTGGAAAATTGCTTGGATGAAAAAAAAAGTTTAGCAGCCTTTTGGAATATTTCACATTTCTTAGGAATGGCGTGGGTTTTCTGGAGCAACAGAGTAGGATTTTTAAAACAGCATCATGGATTCCTACTATCTTTCTAACAGCTAATCAGTAGTTTTACACCAGGATGAATTCTTTTTATCAAACGTATATGAGGTCCTCTTTGATTGCTCAGTGACAACTTCCTACGAAGTCCTAAAAATAAAGAATATTTCCCAAGTGTTCTGTAAATAGCAGAACTCATTGATGGCCAAAATGGTTGGAACATTTTTCTTACCTTATCATATTCATGAATTATTTTTACTCTGTTACTTTGCACAATATCACTACAATATCTGCCTAGTAATATTTTAGTAAGAGTCTTTGTTCTGTAAGTATGCTTTAAACATCTTGTGAATCCCCTGGCTGCTAATTTTGATGAGCAAGATGCACACATCTGGCACTTAGTCTTTGTGCAAAGTCCTGCTTTGTAGTTCAGCATTAGGTTCAGTGTTTAATAGACCCCTATTCTTCCTTCTGCTCCGACACATAAAAATCCTATGGTGACTCTTGAATAAGATGCCCTGACTAATATACCATATTAAGGAGGTGGGATATTGTATATAGACAATGAAACCTTCAGTTTATGTTTTGAAAAAGGTTTTGTGTCCTTGTTAGTGTTTATATAACACTAATAGCCAGTTTAGATATATTGTAATGAGTTTGATCTGTAAAAGTCTCATTAGTTGCTCTCTGACTGTGTTAAGGAGACTACTTTGGAAGCAACAGGCAGAAGAGGAGGGGCAAATTCAGCTGTTATTTGAGAAAGTGTAGTAACTGGTTAGTCTGGGAAATTATGCAGACATCACTTTAAGATAGACATGACAGCTGTGAATTGTGGTATTTGTTACCCACGTTCTCATGCTAGGGCATGCGTTATTAGGCTTGTTCATCAAATTATAGAATTAATAGCTTGCACAATCCATGCAATTTGTTCCTTTTAAATTCCCTCCCTTGAAGTCTCAATCATAGTGTGTTCCAGTAGGTCAACAGCAGAGGGTTTTTTTGCTTCCTGGTATTTGTCTGAAGCTTCAAATAATGTTGGTTTAGTCCTTACAAATTGAAAGCATCCAATAGAAGTTGGACATATCTCTTGCCTCAAAGTTGTCAGACAACCCTGTAAAATCCCACACATGCACCTCTGCCAAGTGGAGGGAGAAAGCAAAATGAGGGAAGGAGAGTCACCGCTATACTGTACAGCTGGCTGGCAGGAGGTGCATCAGCAGAATGACTCTTTTGACACAATCAAGTAGGACGCGGGGGGCCACGAACAAATAATTAGGCTTATTTCTCCTCAGGGCTTTGTTCACTGCTGGAAATTATATGCAAAATGGAAGAAGCAGATTAGGAATGAGGTCTGAGGGGACACTGAAAATTTGCTCATACTGTAACCACCTTTGCTGAAAGAGAAATCCCCAAGGGTTAATTTGCTTCTGCAGAATTGTCTCAACACTTTGAGAAAATAAAACAATGAAACTATGTTGGGAACTTTTCTTTCGATAATCTTCTTGTTTAGGGTTAGTCCTTGTAATGTTTCAAAATGTCATTTTCATTGAAGTATTTTATATTCATTTAGGTACTAATTGTGCAC